ACTCTTTAATTGCGTCTTTCGTAATTTCGGTATCTCTGAGGATATAGTATCTGATAAAGTTCCTCAGTTTATCTAACAAGTGTGGAAGTCTTTCTTCTTGCTCCTAGGTGTGACCGTGAGCCTATCTTCTGGATACCACCCACAGGGCAATGGACAAACCGAGAAAAAAACAGGAGATAGGTCGCTAGCTCTGTACCTTCTGCCATAACCACCAGAACTCCTGGAACCGTTTCCTTGTCTGCGCCGAGTATGCACAGAATTCCCTCCATCAGCCATCTACGGATATCACTCCGTTCCAGTGTGTACTCAGCTATCAACCGCCCTTGTTCCCCTTATCAGGGGAATCTTCGGAAGTACCATCAGTCTGGGACTCAGTTCACCAACATCTCCAGTTAGCAGTTCGACGCCATCAACATCATGCAGATGCCCGGAGAGCCCCTACTCCCACGTTCCATCCAGGACAAAAGGTATGGCTCTCCACTCAGGACATCTGTCTATGGCTGCCCTGCAAGAAGCTGAGTCCCAGATTCATTGGACCCTTCCCTATCATCCGTCAAGTCAATCAGGTCACATACAAACTCCAGATCCCTCCACAGTACAGGATTCACCCCACATTCCATGTCTCACTACTCAAACCAGGTCCCTCACCTGTATTTCCTGTTTCCACAGAGCCTGGTCCCGTAGACAATCCCCCTCTTCCGATGGTGCTGGAAGATGGAATGGTCTACTCTGTAAAGGAGATCCTGAGTTCCTGACATTGTGGTCGACATTGGTCGACTAGAGTACTTGATCTATTGATCTACTGGTCCAAGAGACAACATACTCGATCCCAACCTCCTAACAGAGTTTCACGCTTCCCATCCACAAGATCCAGCTCCACAGCTCCACGTGGTCAAGGCCGTCCACCACAACGTCAGATTCTTCGGAGGAGCGGGCCGTGGAGAGGGGGGTTCTGTCACGGACACACCAGGCTCATTCACCTATCATCGATCACAATCACCAGAGTTCTGAGCACGCACACCTGACAATCATCACCAATCATCACCCTGCACTATAATAGCACACAGTTCACTCAGTCACATTGTCTGGTCTCCCTTGTGGAATAAAGACTCAATTCCACGTGTTCACTTACCCGCTTCAAGTCAGTGGATCTTGTCTCCCCTGTGTGCTCCTGTGTCTTCCCAACCCTACTTATCTGAAACAGTTCATTGGAACCATCTCCTGGAAAACCTCTTCATCAATCCATTCACTCTCTATCTACATTCACTGCATCAAAGACTCTATATTTGCCATTACTCCCCTGCCATTGTT